CCCAGTTTTTGAGATCTAAATGAAGTTCGAAATCGCCGTTAGGGGCGCTTGTGATGATTGGGATACTAAATACACAACTTCTTATGGCAAGAATAACTATTTTGTTATAAATTATAGAGCCAAGTTAATATTTGGGCATATTTTACCAGAGTTAGCTTTTAGAAACGTGGTTTTCTAATTGGGCAATGTGCGTGGCTAAAATTGTGAATACAAAACCTTAAATTTGAGTTTGAAAGGTAAGTTAGAAGTTAGGTTATATTAGATACCGGTTTAATATATCCTTTTCCTAAGTTGATATTATAAAAATGTTTTATTATGTGGTTCTTTTTAATGCATACACGACCGAAGAAACATATAAGCTGCTAAAATAAATCTTCCCTAGAACTGTTGTACAAAAAGATAGAAGTTCCAGCAACAAATTTATCACCAGTTCAACCTTTGATTTGATGTAAACAGTAATTGTTTCTTGATAGAAATACCCGAATGAAATAGTTTATGAATTGTGATTATTGTTAATTGTTTATTAATAGTTTGTTGATTAAGTTTTAAAAGGTTCATGGTTTTCATTAAAACATTTGAAATTGACATGTTTACATGCAGTTTAGTGTGATACCATTTTAATAAAACATTAAAATCTTCGAACTAGTAGTGGTTTTATGACGATTGACAGATTGAATAACGAAAATTAAGAGTATTTTATCAGGAATAACTTAATCATAAATGGAAACTGAAGTCGAACGTTACCATTGCACCCTTTGTTCGGTGTTATCTATTCCATAACTTTTTATAGCTGAAACTAGAGAGTGGGTATATTGAGCTGAAACGTTTCCTGTGTTCAATAGCGTTTTTTCTAGCGTTGAATTGTAAGTTTTAATGTCATTAGCAAAGGTTTGCAAATTGTCACTGTTTTGTGAACATTAAATTTCAAGATATATTATATTCAATGTCTCAGAATGTCACCTAATAATAATTGTAAAGGTTTTTCTATTGATATTCACTTTATTAATATAAGGTGGGTTTGTAAATAAAATGTTAATGGATAAATGAAGTAACCTCAGTTTATCTTCAAAGAAACACAAGAAAATACAGGTTGTGAATATGTATATACACTGACTTATTTCATCAATATAAATATTTATTTAGCAATATTAATACATTACAACTTTTGTTTCTATTAACTAATTCCACTAAATTTAATAAATAAAATATACAATATATAAATTTAATATACAATTTAGCACTTAGATATTAAATATCTATATGTACTATGCCAAAAAATAAAACAGGAACATCATATTATATCAAGAACTTTTCCCTTTGATGATATTTTTGTTGTTGACAGATTAGACTGATAGTCAAAAACAAAAAATCAATAATATTATGATAGTTGAAACCATTTTTTTTTCAATTTGTTGCAATTAGATTTATTAGTAGAGGTAAAAATCAAGTGTAACTTTTCATACACAGCTGCTGTGTGCATCTGCCATTTGTTTAATTCCATTCCAGTCAATGGTCTTCCATTTAAATCGCTTCAATCTGCAAACCTAAAATTTATTTGTTTTTTGAATGCGTAATTTGAGACAGTGGATAAATAATTAAGACGTAAATAGTTTGAGCCACATGGTTGCTTTATTTTCAGCAAGTCTTTACCTACAGCATACTTCAACTCCATGCATTATGCTAACCATAAGAGAAAATAAAAAATGTATATATTACTAGTCTAAATATTGAGAATTAGGTATACTGAGAATTATTATATCTAATAAGTAAAAATAAAAACAACTAATAATATTACCATAGCTTAATTTCAGAACAGACTCCCATTCTATTGACAGATATTAATATGTTTTCAAGTTCTTCAAAACTAGATATTTCTGAACTTTTCTCTTCAAAAGTAATTTCTGTTTTCCCAAATAAAACAAATAGAGTAAATTAAAACACAACTTTATACCAACAAAAATAAATACTTAATATCTACAACTTATAGACACTTATCAACACAAATTATAATTTTTTTTTTTGGCAAGTAAGTATCATCCCACTCAGCAAAGACTATTTCATTTGAACCTGAAATAAATGTACCTGCCCATCGCTTGTTTGGTGTGCCAACTGCAGCCAAACTATTTTTCAAGTGTGAACATAGTAACTCTACTGTCTGTAACATCAACTGGCACATTAGTAATATCACGAAGAATTTCATTCTCATTCTCAAAGTTAGGTTCTGAAGTTTGATTTTCAACATGATTAATAGGCAGACCTTTTACTTTTTTGAATTAGAAACTTTTTCAGTTGCTTCTCTCCTTACACATGGTGGTTTCCTCTTTCTTTTATTACTGAAATGTGAAGGCGGAGTTAGGAAAAATTATTGGAATTGAACCCTCCTTTAATAATGGTCTACCCCGCTCAATTCTACTGATAGTTCAGTCAGTTAATTTGATCTCATAATGAGTAAAAATATCTTCATCTAGAAAATGTAGTTCACAAACAGCATCTTTGCTGCTAAGTGTCTTGTCTGATCTAGGTATCGCCTTTTGCCACTGCCGTAGCAAGCTAGGATCCTAATAAAAGATATATAATTGTTAAATAAAATAAAAAAAAACATTTTCACTATTAAAGCTGTTATTTTGAAATACGAATCTTGAAGTATAAATATTTAATATTTCACTCAATAGCACTGTTCAAACTGTAGTTAATATAGGTACATGTCAACAGGTAATTTTAGCACCTAGTAAGTATTAGTGTTTAATTTTATAACAAGGCCTCTTAGGTTATGTTATACACATGTTGATTTTAGGCTATATTTCCTATTAATTTGGTTTATAATTTAATCTGTTCACTGACAGTATATAATTTTAATGTTTTTCTTAACATCTATCCATAATTTTATAAATAAATAGTCATACTACTTACATTAGAAGCTTTGAAAAGGCTTGGGTTTCTTTCACACCGTTCTTTATTTGCCTTGTTTTTATTGGGATTCCCACTTGTACAGCCAGGTACAAAGCAATTTCTACTACGACTCATTGTTGTACTGCACAAAAATTCAATTAGAATTAACTATATTTATTAAAAAGCTTACAATTAAATCGTATACTAACAATGAAAATGTAGTATCCCAGTCGATCGCAGTGCCTCTGCTGTCAAACCGAGGAAGCTGCTTAAAAGTGGGGACAGAAATTTCAAATTTGCCCATTGCCGATAAATCTCCTTTTTTAAGCCCTCCATAGTCTGTAGCGTTGGGTCTTATGACTCTTTTTAGTGAGCGCGCTCACTTCGTTCAGCTCACTAATATATATATACTATCCAGTTTGTATGTTAATGGAAATTCTTGCTTTGCTATCATCACTATGGAGGGCTTAAAAAAGGAGATTTATCGGCAATGGGCAAATTTGAAATTTCTGTCCCCACTTTTAAGCAGCTTCCTCGGTTTGACAGCAGAGGCACTGCGATCGACTGGGATACTACATTTTCATTGTTAGTATACGATTTAATTGTGTTTTTAATAAAATTTATAGTTAATTTACTGAATTTTAGCAATTTAACAATGAGTCGTGGTAGAAATTGCTTTGTACCTGGCTGTACAAGTGGGAATCCCAATAAAAACAAGGCAGATAAAGAACGGGGTGAAATAAACCCAAGCCTTTTCAAAGCCCCTAATGTAAGTAATATGACTATTTATTTATAAAAATTATGGATAGATGTTAAGAAAACATTAAAATTATACTGTCGGTGTAGATAAGTATAAACCAAATTAATAGGAAATATAACCCTAATAACTCAGCTGTGTGTCTTTATAACCTAGGAGACTACTAAAATTAAAATAATTAATACTTACTAGTGCTAAATCTGTTGACTTTAATATTAACAGTTTGGGCTGTTATTGGTGAATGATAAATATTTGCTCAGATGTGATCTCAAATAACAGCTGTGGTGAATGTTTTATTTTGTTAACAATTATATATCTTTATTAGGATCCTAGCTTGATACAGCAGTGGCAAGTGACTGCAGATCAGGCTAAGATTGCTGGCAACAAGATACTGTTTGTGAACATTTTCTAGATGAAGATATTATGACTCATTATGAATCAAGTAACTGTGAGGAACATCAATGTCGTGGCCAGTGCATTTCAGTATTAAGGAGTTTCAATTCAAATTTCTGAAATAAAGAAAGAGAAGGCTCCACAATGATAACAGAAGATGGCTGGTTCTAGTGAAAAGAGATAAAGGTCTGCCTGTGTTGAAAATCTCAGAGACTCTTTGAAGATGAGTAATTCGTGTTTAATATTGCCAGTTGATACAGACAGTGGAGACCTATGTTCTAGAGTGAAAAATAGTTAAATATCGAATTATTAAATTTGTTATAAAAGAATTATTTGGATTTTTGACTAGCCGTGTAAGGCAACACTCGTGAGAATAATAAGAAATAATTTGAAAATTATTGTATTGTGGTTGATACTTTTGATTTATTGTTTTTTTTTTTTTTTTTTTTTTTATTTTTTTTATGAATAAACTCTTTAAATTAATATTTTTGTTTTAATTATTTTGTAGCTAGGTATTTTTTAGAATGCATTTTTTTAAATTGTAATTTTTGTGTTCTTGATATGTATGATGTTTCCTGTTTTGTTTTGGCATAGTACATATAGATATTTAATATCTAAGTGCTAAATTGTATATTAAATTTATATATTGTATATTTTATTTATTAAATTTAATTGGAATTAGTTAATAGAAACAAAAGTTATAATGTATTAATATTGCTAAAATAAATATTTATATGATGAAATAAGTCAGCGTATATACATATTCACAACTCTGTATTTTTGTGCTTTTTAGAAATAAACTAGGTATTTATTTCATTAATATTTTATTTACAAACCACCTTATATTAATAAAGAAGTGAATATCAATAGAAAAACCTTTACAATTATTAGGTGACATTGAATATAATATATCTTGAATTTAATTGTCTGAAACAGTGACAATTTGCAAAACTTTACTAATGACATTTAAAACACAATTCAACGCTGAAAAACGCTATTGAACACAGGAAACGTTTCAGCTCAATATACCTACTCTCTAGTTTCAGCTATAAAAAGTTATGGAATAGATAACACCGATCAAAGGGTGCAATGGTAACGTTAGTCTTCAGTTTCCATTTTATGATTAAGTTATTTCCTGATAAAATACTCTTAATTTTCGTTATTCAATCTGTCAATCTCCATAAAACCACTACTAGTTCGAGAAGATTTTAGTATTTATTAAAGTAGTCACACTAAACTGCGTAACAAACATGTCAATTTCAAATGTTTTAATGAAAAACTATGAACCTTTAAACTGCATCAACAAAACTATTAATAAAACACTAACACAAACACCATAAAACTTCTTTCATTTCGCATTTTCTCATCAAAAGAAACAATTGTTTATCAAATCAAAGGTTGAACTGGTGATAAATTTGTTGCTGGAACTTCTATCTTTTTTATACAACAGTTCTAGGGAAGATTTATTTTAGCAGCTTATATGTTTCTTCGGTCGTGTATGCACTAAAAGAACTCACATAATAAAACATTTTTTATAATATCAAGCAGGAAAAGGATATATTAAACCGGCATGCAATATAACTAACTAACTTTTTCAAACTCAAATTTAAGGTTTTGTATTCACAATTTAGCCGCACATTTGCTCAATTAGAAAAAACCACGTTTCTAAAAGCTAACTCTGGTAAAATATGCCCAAATATTAACTTGGCTCTATAATTTATAACAAAATAGTTATTCTTGCCATAAGAAGCTGTGTATTTCTAGTATCCCAATCATCACAAGCGCCCCTAACGGCGATTTTCGAACTTCATTTAGATCTCAAAAACTGGGCCCATAATTTTTGCGTTCGATTCGCCTCCTCCTTTTAGACTCCATACTACAGACAAAAGACAAGTCACCCCCATGTCACCCCATGGTACAAACCTTAGATTAAGAATAAAGTACAACAGGGTTGCCACAAGAAAATTTTTGATTGTGCAGAACTTGACCATAAAAATGTGTAGCATTGTGTAGCAATCCATGACCATGACCCATGACCAATAATTGTAAACTATCCAATTAGACCAAGAATAAGACGTAAAATCGCCAAATTTTAAAGCATAATTACGAGTCTCGATAAGAGTCTCACTTCCACTCGTTTGTATACGTCAATATATTCATTTCCCATTTCACTTCTTCTCATGCCAGCAAATATTGCAATGACGTCAAAATTGACGAAACTTTTTATTTTATGAAAAAATTAGACCGGTTAAAGTCTGTTTTAAAACTGTAAAACAATTCAAGGACTGTTTAATGCCAATTTTGTCCATAGAAACTGCAGTCCTTGCTGATATGGGAGGAAAAGTGAAATAGGGATTGAATATTATTCACGTATGCTAACGAGTGGACCGAACTACTGTGAAATTTGGCCTCTGAATTTGGCCAAAGTACGTGTTATGTATTATTTAAGGAATTAAACAGTCCTGTCTATTTACCGTTTTTGACTCGACCAATGCGTGACCGAAATGATGTTTGTCAGTTCAAAATTTAGAGTTTACTTGCGGCCTCTTTTAATGTAACTCAAACAACTTAAATAACCTAGATAGCAAAAAGCAAAAAAACAGCTTTTGTCAGCTGATTTACTGTTTTGGTATTATTTTTTATAATAAATATGTAAATTGTCAAAATGTGTAGCACAGGCCATTGTGGTGTAGCTGTGCAGTCATGGAAGCAAATGTGTAGCAAAATACACAATTGTGTAGCTTGTGGCAACCCTGAAGTACAAACACAGGTACAAAGAAAACAAGGTATGATCGATAGCGGCCCTAATTTCATTCAGTTTGCGCATACCACCTGTGACGTCATACGCCATACAAAAAATATCCATATTGTCAAAGAATAT